TATTTTGGTTCCAATTATGTGAAGAAAAATTGTAAGAAATAACCTTGTCTAATAAAGAACTTTAAGAAGCCTATTACAGTCCAAAATCACCGGGTTTTGCCCAAAAGATTTCACTATTTGGTTGATTGTACATTTGGAATATAATAATGAAAATTACCATAGAAATATGTCAGTCACGTGGTCCCTTAAAACTCACCACAGTTGATAGAGTTACTTACCAGTGTTCTTTTTCAAACAGGGCATATTTGAAAGTAATCACTTTTAACACTAACAGAATGCTTTACAGACTTAAAACAGAAATGTTTTTCCTCATTCTCCCAGTTTCCCAGTTAACTTGTAAATGGTTTCATTTGCATGGAACCAAATCCGATGCCTCAATCTGTTGTGCATTATCCCCATCAATTTACACGCAATTCAATGTCTGTTTTATCTTAGTTAAACACCAGTATTGTTCCAGCAAGTAAAGAATAGTGAAGTAAAAAAAGTGATAATAACAGAATTCTACAAGCTGAAGGATAAACCTACTAAAAGTGATATTATAGCTTTTGAAGAAAGTTAACCAAAAAACAAAAACATAATTCTCAAAGAATAACCAAACGTGTAAATTTATGAGTTATCCCAACATCATTCTCTATGATTGTTTGTTCGAGGTGTAGAAGATAAAATAAGATGAGAGTTAGAAAATGTAAGCATTTCTGTGTGGCACGTGTGTTTGCAGTTTGGCACATAAAGATAAAAGTGACATATATATTCACATTAGCTAGCTTATCTAGTCACAGGCTAGGCTGATATTAGCTTACAGCCAGGGCCACCCTTTTTCAATATGTCTTTAAACAAGAAGTCTCCACTGACAATACTGTAGCAAATGTAAAAACAAGTTGTTTAAACATTTTCATTTTTAAAAACATTATTATTTTTGTGACTTAGCACTAGCTAGCGTTATAGCGAGATATTAGCAAGATGAATGATGTTTTTATTAGTTAGCTAAGTAGCTAATATTTTGCTGACATATATGTGATTTTATAAATGTTGCTTTTATCTTTTAGCTGGTTGTCTTTTGGTTGGATTTTCATAGCATATATAGCATAGCACATAGCATATCTATTCCAACAGAATGGAGAAAGTTGGAATTGATTTTTGACCGAGGCTTGCTCAACTGTTATCTGGAGCACAGAGCAAAAAGGGGCGGGACTTATGAAGGGTTAATTGGCTTAATATATTTCACCTGTGTAGCTTTGTTACTATATGTGAAGTCCCTTTTTTTTTGATGGTGTTGTCAGGGTTTTGTCCACTCCCTGTGTCAGCCTGTGCCACTCAACAGATTAATAGGAGCTGTTCAGATAGATGTGTGTTCCTACATCCATGCACACGCAGACTCACACACACAAACAAACACACACAAACACACACACTGATTAAAGCATTAGGGGATTGTTCAGTGTCCTTGTAAAAAAATGTGTTTTACATAGAAGTCACAGAACTGCAAAGAGAAAGAGAGAAAAGATTGCTGCTGGCACAACATATGATTTGTGCAATTTTTTTCCACCCCCGAGGATGAATGAATTGGGTTTTTTTTTTTTTTTTCATTTTGTTATTATTTCTTTGAATTCCTTGCTCATTTTGACAGGTGTGTGCTCTGGTATGATTCCAGCTATCTTCCATTATTTTACTAGCATCTTGTTCTGAAGGTAGTGACATGTTTCCCTTAGCTGACGCACTTTCTCATCCTGCGAAATCAATGCTGGAAGTTCAATACGTCCCGCAGATGAAGGGCTTTTTTGACAATCGGCTCCTAGGATCAGGGTCAATGCCTGGACTCCACGCTGTCATTTTAAGATGCTCTTTAATAGCATTAAAAGAGCTGCCTCAGCCTCCTGATCTGGACTTATCTGGCAGCAGGGGATTTCACTCGACTGTCACTGTGCTTTAAGCACGTGCTTGTGTCTGTCTGCGGTATTAATGCCGAAATGGTTTGTTTCTCAGTTTGTCACAGACACTTTCAAAATACATTGGCTTATTTTGTACTTCACTTTAAAACACTGCTTTTCCAGCAAAGCCATCACCGGCAGTACCGGCTCAACATTTATGATTTATCCTTTTGGTCACTGTCAAGCATTAAAGGTTAAGGATTAAACATGTATTTTCTGACACTTGGATAACCCTCTAATGTTAAGATATCCTTATACATCTGCTTGTTTTTGTGTAGATTAATGTTCCTCTATTTAGCCAGCAGACCTCGACCCCAAAGTGTTGACTTTACTTCAAAACCTAGACTGTCTGCTCAGGCTCTGAAGAACTGGCCATAATGGCTTTAGAAATGATGTAACGTCTGAATGTTCTCTTCACAATAGTTTTTTATTCCGATCCACCCAACGCTTGGATTGCCATGAAACTTTGTACAGATATTCGTGGTCCCTAGAGGATCAAATCTGCTGAAATTGGTGACACCCCCAACTCTTCCTCTAGCGCCACCAGCTGGTCAGAATCTTTACGTATCCAGTGAAATATCTCAATATATACTAGACAGATTGGCACAAAATTTGGTACGGACATTTATGGTTCCCAGAGGATGTATCCTAATGAATTTGGTAACTTTTTACTGTAGCACCAGCAGGAGGTTGGAGTGGGTAACATTTAGGAGGATCTATTGGCAGAAATGGAATATAATATTCATACGTATGTTTCATTAGTGGTACATAACACTTGTGAAATACGATTGGTTGTGGTTTGTTTGTGTACCTTAGAATGAGTTTTTATCTACAGAGGGAGGAGGTCTTCTTTCCCAAAGGGTGCCGGAACTAGAGGCCCGACCTAAATCCCTGCCACTTTGAATCTTTTTATAAATGTCCTTGAATAGCTGGTGATGTTTGGCCATACAGAAATGTTGTGAGAGATTCCTGTCCCCCACAATCACAAATGAATTAAAGCCGAGTTTGGTTGGATCCTCCAAAGGTTATCTTCTCATCGTGAGCCTGGCTGTCTGCTTGCGCAATACGAACACACCAAACGCCGGATGGTGAAACGGCTAAAATATTGTACCTGGTGACGCAGGGGGCCGCTGCGAACCTAGTGGAGCGTTGCACCGCAAGTCCTTGCAGGGGGTGTGCCAACCCAGGGTTCCGAATTCCAGCTGCGGCCCTTTGCTTGTCCAGCCCCCCCATGGTCCGCAGAAATTAGAGTGAACATTTTGTCAATCATCGATTGTGTCCATCAATGCTCATTTTGTTTAACAAAAACTCGTGAGAAGAGAGCCGCTAGTCACTGGACGCAGTATTTGGTAGGGAGAGGTGGCTAATAATCGCATTCAGTCTGTTAAATTCAGAAACCAACGGATACCATTGACACAGCAAACTACGTGTTTTAGGTATGATTGATTCTTGATTAAGCCAGCTTTAACCTGTTACCGTTTAAGTGACCTTATTTCAGTTTTGAGGTTTCGGGTAGAAACATCTCCGCTAAGTTTTCTGTTTCACAGTACAATTAATGGATGAATTGAAGGCTAGCTTGATCAAAGATTTTTCTTTTAACTTTGGCACCATTCATCAGTTTCACCATTGTTTTTTAGTTAAATAAACTTATCTGGTTTTACAGTGTGTATCGAGTCATCTGTTGAGTGTATCATCATATTCCTACCTGCTGAATATCAGCATGTTAGTGACAAAGAGAACACAGCATGTGTACGGGGTTGGAGGTGCTGGCAACCGCTCAGTGTTAAAAATGAGCCTGATGAAGCGCTGATTGAAATGCATCGCTCTCATCAGCAGTTAATGAAAGATCCTTGACTATATTTTTGTGTTGAGTTTCTGACTAATCTCTGGATTGATCATGAGAGGTGAATGATGTGGGAGAAGAGAGCTGCCATAGTGTCACTGCCTCTCAGTTAAGGCAAGTTTGATGTTGTTAGCATGATGTTGGGTTAGCTCATTTGAATCGAGGGCTGTTCACTGTGCAAATTGTCAGCCGAGCACTCTAGCTGTGATGCCGTATTACACACTGATTAGGCTGCAACCTTCCAGTGTTTTCAGTGGACTATTCCCCTGCTGAGTGTTACCACTCTGATCAGAGAATTGCGCGAGCACATTAGTCACTGCTGTCTTATTTTCCACATGACCTTGGGTGATGTATTGCTTTCATTATCTGCCGATGTACTTGGGATGTTCATTATGCAGTGTTTTGATATTGTGGTGCTGTCTTTCTGTGCGTCTGGCTTCTCTCCAGGTGTAAGCATGGAGCATGTGGATGAGCTGCGTGTCTTCCTGTTGGTCTGCGGCCTCAGAAGAGTCAAGGACCCCCTCTATCTGGTGGAGGTTTTTTCGGGTATGCAATCTGTTTTATATGTATGCTAATAATGAAAAACATAAAAATGAAACGCATAGTCGAGTAGTAGAGGAAGTAGGCCACCTAAAAGAGGGGAGGGTGTTTCTTGCTGGCATGTTTTCAGCCTTTATTTCAGGTAAACTTTCACAGCCATTCTGACTGTATTTCTGTAGTACCCTGTGGTAGAGGCAGTGGCAATGTCATCATCAATTAGAAATGAGGTAAGATCTCTGCGGTTGAGTTTCAGCTAATTGAAGATTTATGTGAAAGTGCAATGAGATTCTTCTGACAGCTCAAGTTGGCCCTATAAAGACATTTCGTCTCGTTGGGTCTTGCCTTTTCGGTGTTTATTTTTATGATGACTGTCTTATATATCTTGTTATGTATCTCATATATTCAGCTGTGAGAATTGCCACTGATGAGCTACATCTTGTTTAAATATATTTATTTTATGAGACTTTCATAGCATACAGTTATGGTAATAAGACAGCACTAGAGGGCGTCAAATTGTATATTAATGTTTCCTCCAGATAGGAGAAGTAGATGTGATGTGGGCATGTTCACATGGCATTTCTTGGAATTTAATTGTACTGTGATTAAAAATAACACGTATAGTGCACTCAGTATCTGTCTGTGCAAAAACAACTTTACTGCTTTTGAGAAAGCTGCTGCTCATTTGTTTTTGTTTACAAAGCCACTTTTATTTTTTTGTCTTTCAGAGTGGCATTGTGAGAATCCACTGAATGTTTTGGTCATTATTGGGCCAAAGGTAAGCACACAGTCATTATACAGTACTGCACATGTTTCTCCCTCTGTACCGTGACTCTTTGTACTGTTGAAATTACCTAGAAACCTTCCCTGGGAATTCAGGTGGTCTCTAATTGGATGTAGCAGAGATACAGGCTTTAGCTGTTTAGCTGGAATTAACGCTGGGAGGAAATGGTACTGTTCTGCAGACAGGATCAGCAGCAGCAGCAGTGGTCCTGTTTCTTGTTGTGCCTAACTGACTGACTACTTGATGGACCAATGCACTGACCTGTGTGAAGTGACCTCATCTGAATACAAATGGATATTGATCAGAGATGTGCTGGTATAAAATATAGCCAAAGCATTTTGCATTATGCTTCTGTCTTGTGTATCCACTGTTGGGACAGATTGCTTTTACTAGTTACTGAATAAAAATGACATGGCAATATTTGTGGTTAGTATAAACTGTAATTTAATCTGAATAATTTTGGATTATTTCAAAATCAAACATTGAAAAAATACTAAAAAATAGTCTGTGTTACACCCACAAATCCAACTAGACTTTTTTTTTTTACATTTTATTTTAATGATTGGTCTTTTATTCTGAAAATAATAAATTAAATAATATTAGTCTTTGTCCTTCGGTGGCTTTACTTTATGTTCAGGTAACTGAACTCAACTCAACTGAGTTGGAACAGAACAAAGACAACAATCACAATATAACATCAAAATCTCAGTATTTCAAAATAAACTAATAATTATACAATCACTAGATATAAAATTAAAATCCTTGGACTATTAGAATTACAGTAAACTAAATATTCTGTTATTTAAAAAAATAGAATAATAAAATAAATTGTTTTTACAGTGCTCATTTTATCATTCTTATTATTCCCAATATAAAACAATTATCATATTCCCTATACATTAAATCACTTGATTAACACTTGATTTATACAGTATAATCGCTCATTGTTCTTTCATTACAGTTGGCATATGCTCATTCTAGTAAAGTGCCCAGTTGCCTTGGCAACGGTCAACACCAGCGCTGTTGCTAATCAGCTGTTGGTCTAACATTTGACTGCCATAATATAATATAGCACCTTGGAATCTGTGAAGCTTGGCTATATAATATAATAATACTTTATATCACAGCAGCCACAAACATGTGAGTTTGACAGATATTGTTTTTTCTCTTGAAACATCATTTTCAATAAAATTAGCTGTAGCAGCTTCAGGAGACACAAGCTGAGCGGCTGAGGTCGTGCCTGTTAGCTCAGTTAATATGTGCACGCTCACCGTCTCTTCCTCCTATTAAACGCAGGTGAACACCTACTGTGTAACACAGAATGTGACCGCTCGTATCCATGTGACCCAAAAATATAATATATAATGTATATATATAAAACTAATAACAAAAACCAAAAAATAAAAAAAAATATTCATTTCAAGTTGGACAAATCAAATATCACTGATTGTTTATGTGTTTGGATCCCCGTTAGCTGTGCCCTGAAGCAGAAACTTCAGTTGAAACAAATCAACACATTAAAAAACATTTAATCTTACAAGCAACACAAATGAGAAACATAGGACTTGTCAGTGGTGTCATTTTTTTAAAAACACACATTAAACCTCACAGTCCACATAAAGCAACGCGTCTGAATGTCTTCTGGGATTATTTATTTATTTATTTTTTCCATATTGAAAACTATTTTTGTTGTTAGTCATCCTCTGGCAACCCCATGATGCCTTGGGTTGAGTCTGTCAACCAATCAGAGGCTGTGTGGACGGGTCTGTGACACAATAGAGTAACATGTGATTGACCCCATTCCCCTGTCAACATCTATAGAGCCCCGGGGGTTAATAGGCAAGTGCTTATTGGTTAAAAAAAGAAATTTTTACTGACATATTTTTTTTTTTTAATGTAATGTAGGCCTATTCTTAATTTTTCCATCCTGATTGCATGTAATCAATTACTCCCCAACACTGTGTGTATCATTACTGAAGACATTAACTGAACAAAGTCGAAGTCAAATAATTGGAGAAAAAAAGCCTGCCATGATTTATGATATTCATAAATCAAGCAGTCAGCCAGACAATCAAATCAGAGCAGGGAGGTTTTTTTTTTTTATACATTAAAAAAACAAATGAAGTGATTGCACTTTTATGTTTCTCTGTGCTCAGTGCTGCAGATATAAGTCATGTCCCGGGCAACAGCAGCAGCCTCAGTGCTCTTGCAACTGCTCTTCTTTTCCAATCTGTCTCTCATTGATTTCTCTCTGTGTGTCTTCACCGTTTCTTCCCCCCGACTTGCTTTGATATGACATGAGTGTACAGTATTTTAGTGTCTGTTCTTTCTTTCAAACAGTGGTGTCAGGCAAAAGGTATGTTCTGCTTTAGATATCCTCAGAAACAACTCAATTAGACATGGCCGGGGGCTTTTACACGGCCTCACCGCTGCTTCTCGCTCTGCTATGCTTAGTTGTTGTTTGATGAAGTGGTTCAGCGGAAGCAGAGACATTTGATTTGTCTTGACCAACCCTGAATCACAGTGGAAGCCTGCTTGTTTATTTGTCTGAGAAATGGAAAGGAATATATTATTAGTATTATTATTATTATTATTATAATAAACATATATTTGTATGACCACCAGATTTCCCCATGATAATTATGGGATTCCAAGAATACAAAAAGAAGTTAGACTTTGCTTTGCTGTCATGGTGTACTACAAATCCACAGCAACTCCATTCAAGTAATAAGAGCTCTGGCTGCACAGCATCCGTCATTAAGAGGAAAATTCAGGTCAGTTTGTCAGCGATGACACATCTCACTCCTCTCCAACTGGGCTTTATGAAGCACCGCAGTGTGCTGCACATTCTGTCAGATAGGTCTGAAGATATTTCTAAAAATTTAATGTTAGCTGTTGGGATATCAGTATCAAATATTTCTTGTTTAAGAACAAGAAAATATGTGGCAAAGGGCAAAACAGCAACCAAAACATAGAGCCTACCTTCCCCTTCTGACCGGTCTGTGCGGCCTGTGGATTCACCGTGGAGCAGTACACAATCAGTACAGTGCTTAAATCATTTGTGTTTGTTAATACAGCCGTTATCGGGATTCTCCCCCCCCCCCCGCCTGGTTTTACAATGTCTGCTAAATCCCAGATTACACCAGGATACAAAAATGTTCTCGGTTGAGATTCTTCGATTTTAATGCACATGTGCTTTACAGCAGATTCCATTTCGAAATTCCATGAGTTATAAAATGAAAGAGGGAAAAAAAAAAAAGTAGCAGCTTGCTTGGCAGCATCTTTGACCTAAATTGCTAACGCTTTGACTTTTCTGTGGGCAGGCTAATGCACGCAAATCCACGTTGCAATTAATCAGATTGGCCACCCACCCCACCCTGACCCCAATCTCTGAAAATACAGGATTTGCTCATGATAGAAATTATTAATTGTGTCATTGTTTATTTTATCCTCACGATTAAGTCATTGTTGGCATCCTTGACGAAAACAGAGCTTTTGACAGTCGGTCTCTCTTTGATGTGTCGGCCTTCTCTTAGATTGATCCTGCACTTACTGTTGAAGTGGGAGCTGTTGTTCAAAGGTAAGCCTTCTTTTCTCTTTCCTTTTATTCATCAGTTACACGTCTCATAAAAGAAAACTTGAGCTCTGACAGTCTAATTGCTAATACTTCTGTGAGAAATTGGAATTCTTTCTATTTATCCCGTGTGGCAAAGGAAAACATCTGAGCAAATGTAGCTTACATTTATCTTGATATAATGTGAATGGAATGAAAATCTGAGAGGAGCGCCAAGATCCTCTTTTTTTTTCTATCTGTCCTCCAACTCTCAAGTCTCGCCTGATCTCTCGGTTTTTCGCCGAGGGGTCTTCACCACAGCAGAGATCCTTGCGGCAGGTTCCTGCCGTCTCTGGTTAGGACTTTCACCTGGACTCTCTGTGCATGTCACACATAGCGCAGCCGTGTTTCCTGCCCTGAGCTTCTCACTGCCCTTTAGCATCATTCACGCCTCTGTGAGCCTTGAGTCACGCAGAACTGAGCTCTGCCACTGCTTCTGCAGAACAGCAGGGGTCTTCATGGCCCAGGAGAGGAGCCAACAGGAGCTTCATGCTGCCGTGAAAAGGTGCTTCGCCGTGGTCAACAGCTCTGTCTCGGAGGGCATGTCAGCAGCCATCTTGGAGGTAAACATCTCAAGGACTCTTGGGTAACAATTCAGTATCTTTTTACAGTTCATACATTGTGGTGCTGAATAGTATTTTGGTAATGAGAATTTAATTTATTAAAGTATATACTGAGAATTGAAAGCCCTTGGAAAATTGAAAGCGTGTGAATATTTACTGGAGTCCTTATCTCGCTGTTTCTCGCTCAGCTACAATGTTATCTGACCACTTCAGGGACAATTACCCAAATTAATTGCTTGACTCCAATCTTCCCATTCCTGAGTGAGCAAAACCAGCAAATCCACTTAATCTCTTTTAAACACAGTCGATTAAGGCAATCCACAGTAGGCTTAAAGTCTGATTAGTGTGTTAGCATGTTTCACTCAACAACCTGCTGAAGGTATTAACTGATACAGATTGTTAATTCTGTAAGTGAACTAAGGCACCCAAGAGCAGAATAGCCAAGCTTCACAGATTCCAAGGTGCTTTTGTGGGTTTCTAAGAATTATAAAATGAGTGAGTCTAAGCAAGTAACTTTTGTCTCTTTTGACATTGTGGATCTCAACGACTTTTGAGTGTTTAATCTCTCTGGTCCGACAGGCCATGGACCTCGGGGTGCCCGTGTTGGCCAGGGACATTCCAGGGAATGCAGCTGTAGTGCAGCATGAGTTCACTGGCCTGCTGTACTCATCTCCTCAGGTACTGTATATAGTAACAAACACTGACCAGGTCACCACATGTGGTAAACCCCTTTAAGCTTCAACACTGACAGCGTTGATGGACTACAGAGGGGATGTACTGCACATACACTGCTACTCCTGTCACCTCAGCTGACCCATAAAAGTACTTACTGCTGATAAGTAGTATTGAAGCACTGTCTCAGGAAGACTGAAGAGTCCCCTACTGGCATAGATTTACCTTAAATGGTCACAATTGTAAGTAGGGAAACTTTACATCATTTAGTCAAACTTTGTACTTTAAATTCTCATCATTAGTTCAATCTGAGCAGATAAAACATAACAAAAGGAGCTGATTCCTCAGGTGCGTAGATTAGAATCAAAAAGTGCAACCTTCAGGGACAGAGCAAAGATACCACATTACCACGCAGTGATGCAACACATAGGAAAGTGCAAAGTGGGGAGCTCCCGCGAGAACTATTCAGTCTGATATTTAATGAGAAAATACCAAAAAAAAACAAGATCCAGGAAGTGCCTTGCCTGATATTGAGTGGTGCAGACAACCATGGAGGCAAAAAAGGCCCAAAGCTCCGTCTTCGGGTGAATTAATATTTTAGATTTATTTTTCTAGCATAAAGGTAATCAAACAGGCCAAATAATGTCGACTCTAGGTCTTCATCAGGGTCCTGGATCTTGTTTTTTTGTACTAAAGATCACCTATGGGATCAGCCATCAGAGCCATACTTAATGAGCTTGGATGCAAAAGGAGAATAGCATAAGTTAAGGCCAGTTGACCGAGGGCTTGAGCACGGCGCTGTCAAGACACCATGTTGTAGCGTGATGTTGTTGTAGCGGCAGGGATAAGTCCTCTCCGGGGGGGGGTCACGTGTGCTCAGCTGAGCTGCCAGGAGAAGGCTCTCACAGATGGTTGCAGCAACTTGGGCTAGATAAACCACGACCTCAGCCAGGACTGAGAGGCAGCAAGTCTTTCAGCCAACTTTTCTTGCAGTGGATCACAACTCATTACTTCTTTTTTCCCTGCATGCTTTAAAATCCTCTCTTATTTTTTGATTGACAGTGTTTCTGGTTCTTTAAGCCTTCAGAGTAATTACTTGAGGAGTATAGGTATCAAGAAATATGTCAAAAGAAACAAACACACAAGCACTCAAGAGCTTTGAAGAGAAAAATGGCTTTTCCTGCCTGGCTCTATAATTTGCACTACAGTGAAGTGATTATAAGCATGCTGCTCATAAGTTGAGCTTTAATCCTGTTGCTAAGGATTTATAGCTCTCATATGGCCATACAGAAGAGCTGTTTCCTACCAAGAGCCTCTCCAGACATAATCACATCACTTGAGTGAAGTGAAGTACAGTGAATTGGCCAGCTGACTGGCAGAGGCTAAAACTTTGCGTGCCTATTGGCTCTCTGCTGCAGTAAATGTTGGCTGCCATGTTGTAGGAACACTTTTAAGGCACTTTCACTTCATTTTGTTGGAGTATCCCCTCTGTCTGCTGGGCCCACATCTCAGTCAGTTCTCAGCGACGGCACCATCATTTTTATCCTCATCTTCCCCTCCCATGTCCCTGTGACAGCTGTTGTGGTAGCATCGCAGCAGTTACTTTATTTGTTTCTCCCTTTCTTCATAAGCAAGTGAGAGGTGGCAGCTATTAGGATAGACTGAAAAGGTGTATTGGACAGCCGCATTTAGATCTCGAGCCACAAATATCTCCATCCTTTGGCAATGTACAGGCATTTTATGAAGTATTTACTAATCAGTGCACTGGCTTTTAAGTGAGTTCTGTTCTCGTGCCTTGGATTATCTTTTATGCTTTAAAAAAAAGCATATCTTCAGGCAACTTCAACGGCAAGCTTTAAGTGGCATTTGGCACTGAATGAGACACGTTTTGCCTTTATCCTTGCCAGGAATTTGTGCATCAATCTCAGAGGCTGGTGGCAGATCATGAGCTGAGAGAGAGAGTGGTAAGAAATGGAAAACTCTACGTGGAAGAGCATCACAGCCTGAAACAGGAGAGAGAAACCTACCAGCGGCTGGTGGACACCCTGCTCAGAGCGTAAGGTTGTGGCATTCAACCTCTACTCTGGATACTTTCTCAGGAACTTCGTCTGTTTACCTTGCATAGGTATAATCATCACAAGTGTCTTTTAAGGAATCAGGATACTAATATGCAAAATAATCCCATTTTATCTGCACTGCCAGACAGAAATTATGGTGCAGAGCACTTTGAACTTTGAAGACCTAGACAAGAAATGGTTGTTTGTCTTGTTAATATATTTAATATATTGATGAAACTAATGATGTACTGCTATTTATGGTTTTGTATAAATATAGAGAAAACTTGGGTTTTCTGTTTACTCATTCTACTTAATAAAAACAACTGTTGTTGAGCGGTTGGTGAGCTGAGAACACTGGTGGACTCAAGGGTTGCCTCCATGTTAGAACGAAACACAGCAAAAGTGCCCTCTATGGTGGCCCAGTGTGCAAAAAAAACATGATAACGTTTCCTCTGTAGTGCCTTTCCAGTGTAGAATGTAATGCAGTGCCGTATAGTCTGCCTTACATGCTAGAAAATTAGTAGTATTTAATAATGATACTTTGAAGTCATAATAAAACAATTTTAATCTTGCCCCACCAGATGCAATTGGTGCCCTGTCCCTCAGACAGCCAGAGTCCACCACTGTCTAAGAATGTATGCTGTTGTAATTACCTTTATTGAGAATCTCTGTTTCTCATGCTTATAAAAAGTTCTGTTCGGATCTTGATTTCTCCTCAAATGCTGTGCAGGATCAGCTAATCTACTCTACCTAAAACAGTTCCTATATTTCTTATTCTTCCAGTCTGTATGCTACCACATTCATTTTTAATGAAGTGCAACGGTTGGCTTGCACACATCCAAGTCCCCAGCAAAAACTCAATTTGTGTAAAGGGCAGAGGGGCACAAAAGGTTCTTGTAATTTGAAGATTCAAAGGTTGATTTTGGCCACACATTGTGGCAATGGCTGCTTGGAAAAGCGTAAATATTCTCTTAAAGGTTTTGCACTATACCATATTTTTGATGCAACTGTAAAATTAAGCATTACACAAAATATACACCAACATCAGGAGCATACTGTTACCAGAGAGGTAGGTGCTTAACATAGAAAATCAGTTGAAAGGCAATATTCAAGATAATAGTGTTTTTAATGAAAAAAAAATCTAATGGAAATTAGATTAACTTTAATTTACAAAGAAAAAAGTCTTGATATTACATGATAGAAAACACTCATTTCAGTTAGAATTATGTTTAATCAAAGCCACATTTTTGGTGAAATCCATATCTGTCTCTATTATAACTGGTAATAAATAAATTTGACATTTGGGATACGTTTTCATTGTGTCTTTGTAGCATGTGAGTGCAAAAATTTAGAGAATTAGATATCCACATGCAGCCTCAACATTTGGTGGCTTTAAACATTGTGTATATAAGAGTCCATCTGGTCAACCATCTGAAACATTACCACACGCATCCACACTCTGATATTAACAGTAATATACAGTACATGTACATGTAAAAGGCCTTGATAGGTAATGAAATGAAGAGGAGGGCAATTCCAAAATCACATACTCTAGACAGTTGTTGGAGTTAACAAAGGCATTGAGGTGATCAAAGCCACATCTACTGTACATGTGAGGTCTGATCAGGTTCTGTATTATAAATGTTCCCCCGGCTCTGTAATGGGCACTTCCTCCTCACAACTGTCCTCTTTCCCAACCCAGTGGATGCCATGGCCGTTCTCCCTGGGCGGGAGATGTGGCGAATGCTGTCGCTCCAGAGAGGAGAAGGTGGTGAACTGGACTCTCTTTCTCTTGCTGGTGGGCGAGTGGAGGGACTCGGTGTGCATAGGTTTGCTCCTGAGGGAGCCCACACAGCTCAGGGGAGAGTCTGTAACAGAGGCCAGGCAACTGGGCCTCCTGGACAAAGAGGCAGTCTTATCAGGCCCGATGTCTATGATGGTGGTTGTTGTCTGGGTGTCTTGCTGGACTGGACTGCCTGGGACGCTCATCACCAGCTCAGCGTCTGTGCCGAGCCATACCCAGTCATGCCTGTGCCCTGTGGGCTCCTGGCCATGAGAGGGAGGCTGCTTGTGCCTGAACTTAACAACATACGAAATGCAATTAACCAGAAAAACCAGGATCGCCAGGCAGAAGACGCCCAACAGAGCGTACATGCCAATCTCCAAGTCTGTGAGCGGCCTGTTGGCCAACATTTCTTCACTACCAATTTCTTCTTCCGTCTCCTCCCCAGGTACCTCCACCTTGGTGGGGAAGTTGTTGTAGTTTACCAGGTTCCCAGGGGCCTTCACAGTGCTAGTAAAACTAACACTGCTCATATCCTCCACTATCATATTGTCTGAGCCATATGCTTTGCTGCTGTCACTGGGGCTGCTCATCATGCTGATATTCACCACGCTGGTGGGACTGCTGGGGTTTCCTGAATTGCTGGTCTTACCCACTCCCCCGAGGCTGCCGCTGGTTATGAAGGTCCGCTCTGTAGATTTGATCGTAGTTGTGATCTTCTGCATGGCACTCTCCTCTCTATCGGAGGTTGAACTGCGCGGATTCTGGGACGGCCTCCTCTGCTTCCTCTCGTTGTCCACCTCTTCCCCATCGTTCCCATAGTCACTGCCATTGTCCTTGCTACTAGCAGTGCTGCTGGCCCCCGGGCGCCGGCTGTTCACCTGGAATTTGACCTTGAGGTTCCCGTTGCCCACAGCCACTGTGCTTTTGCGTTTGGACTTCTGGCAGGCCTCACAGATGGACATTTCTACTCTAACTAGAACTCCCTCGCCTTCACCCTCTGCCACCACAGTTGGGGGCGTGCCCTGCACCGACACCACCCCCTGATCTAGAGAGGTCACTGTCACTCTGTAGTAAGCAGGATCATAAATGTCAAGTGGGGTCTGGCTGCCATCACTGAACTGCACCCAGGCACTGACCAAAGCTTCCTGAATAGAAAATAGGGTTAGGGTTAGTGATCATGCTTTTAATCTATGGTTCATGTTTGAGGCATTTGAATGGATTAAGACTGTTACCTGTTTAGGGGTCTGTAGAACCTCCTGCGTGGTTGTGGTAGCCAGGATGGCCCTATTGCTTCCAGGACTAAGCTGTAAAGTCATGGAGAGGCCTGTAACCAGCTGAACTCCCAACTCTGTGATGGTCACTTTGTCATCCACGACTTTGATAGTTGTCTTAGCCAAGATTGCATCAGACAGTGGTGAAAACACCTGTCACAGAACAATATCAGATAGAGTAAATTATTAGGGTGCCTCAGACTGTATCTGCTTACCAGGACCAGTTCAGTTTGTCAGGTTCAAGCTAAAACTTGTGCCCTTATCAAACTTAAATACAGCTTTGTCTACTCAAAGAGTAAACTCCCATCCAGGTTGTGATTAGCTGCTTCTCGCTATGATGTTGGTCACCGCCTGCTCAAGCCAAGGTTAATTCAAGCAATAGTTCAGTTTCTTACCTGGATGGAGGTGGTCCCCAGGTCTCGCCCCGACAGCACCCTTCCTGCTTGCAGCCTTGCCACTCGAGGGTCCTCAACCTTCATGAAGTATCGAACCAGCTTTGAGACATCCACCTGCCAATCCGAGCCCAGGAAGTAAGCCATAGGATCCCGAGGGTCCGCCTGCTCTGCCACGAAGTGGGTGAGCACCCGCACCAGGGCATGCTGAGACTGCAGCATGCAACCCTTCCCCTTCCTGTCATCTTCTTCACTGTTCCAGCCAGCTCTGGGACATTAGCACAAACAGACACGTTCAGGTCACACCTGTCACACGGTAAATGCTTTGACCTGCTATACTCCAATCACTCAACACTGTCTCTTTGCTTGATTGGATCACATTGAGATATTGCAGTACATTATGTAATGGAATCAAAACCCTAAACCCTGGGAGAGATATAATTTGGATTTGTAGGGGCTAAAGGATGCTTCTAGAAATTCCATCTAGAAACCAAATAAGGGGAGTTTTTATGTTAAATAAATGGTTTGTCTGAGTGTCCCACCTTTTTGAGGTTAGTATGGGTACCCTCCAGCTTTTGATCTGGCTCAGCTCTGTGTCCGACACCTCAATCTGGAGGGGGAGTCGGGGCATCCAGACGTTGAGTTCAAGCTGAGCACTCAGGTAGCTGTAGGTAAAGTTCACCATCATCTTCACTTTGCCCTTCATCTCTTTGCCATTCACGAAAACATAGTCACACCTGTCTGACACCTGGATAGGAGGAAATAATATATAAAATGAGCGATCCATCATAACACAAATATCTTATACTTTTAATTTGCTGATAATATGAGTTTGTGTAAGTACGCCTGTGTAAACAATCTATATCAAACTCAGAATGAGACTGTTAGTCATCTAACCAATGACAAAAAATAATCAAATATTCTCATAAAAGTCACTATTTTAACAAATAGGCCATTCTTAAAACAACAAATGGCCTTGTGGCAGTTTTGCACTGCATGTGTTACCATAGTAATGTCAGCTGGCTGTAATAAACTACTGCGATGATCACCCGTCCGAAGCGTTAGGAAGAGGCAGCATTGCAATTTTATGTTAATCAAAATATCATGTGGTGCAGTGCTGAACATCAGTCCTTCACAGCCAAGTGCATTCATTACACCATAATTTCAAAGGTGACCCTGGCAAGTTTGGGCAACTGCTCTCATCAGATCTCATGGACACTTTGAGACACGAGTCAAGAGGTTTTCCTTGGTCCTCTCAACAGCCGCTGCCTTAAACAAATTGGATAATTAACGCAGCATTGAAATTCAGTCACCAGCCCCTGGAAGAGCACAGGGGAGTGGACGGGGTGAACTCCACATTTAGGTAGAGGATGCGCTGTCACAGGGACATGCTATTTTTGAGAGGATCTTGTATCATCATCGCATCTGAGCATCAGTCATCCTGCACCCGTGACCAGAGCTTAAGCTTTAGAATGACCACATCCCTATGCGTCATCCTTGCTGCCAACTGAGTTGCCACGACCTTTTCTCTGCGAATAATCCTATGCTTGATTTATATCCAAACAGCAGATTTACCATATGTGGCACTGAAGCCCTTGAACAGTTGTTATGGAATATTTCGATTGCATGCATGGAACAATAGACAAAGATTTAGTTCCAGTGAAGTCGTCTAGAGTTTTTAATTCGGCGTGGAGGCAGTCAACCAGTCATCCATGATCTAAGGCACTTTGCTCATTTCTTCTTTGTCAGAGAAGCATCTTCCAAGAGCTCCACTGAACTTACAGGAGCCACGTTCAAATAATATTCTGAAGCATCAGTTAAAAGGGAATGCCATTTTAATGTGTCAGCCGCCCACTCATCCTAGTCACAATCTCATTCTGCAGCCAAGAATATCCCTCAGTGTTTTTGGTGTCAAAATAGATATTTATTTAAAATGGGATTTGACTTTCATCACTGGGGAGAATATTAAAGAGAGGCAGATATAAAAAAAAATGCTGAAATGCACACTTCACGGACACAACTGTGACTGTCGTTTCCCTGTGCAAATAAAACAGGCAAAATAAGTTTTAATGAGTATGCAGAATTATCACGTGGATTGGAAAGGGGCAAATTAAGTTCATGCGTTTCACCGAGTTCAGGCCTGATGTAAATCAGTTAGTCAAATTGCTGTGCTGCGCCATAAAAAGTCCTGATTAATCAACTAAGTAGACATCTATGCACAATATGTCCCTGCTTAAAATGTTCAAGTGTCAATCCTTCAATCCTGAACTGACAGAGTGAACGCCTGTGCACATTTTAAGTCTCCCCATCATTCATGCATATTTAGAAAAACCTTTCCATCACGGCAGATTAGACTTTGTTTGGCTTTTGTTTTGTCACATGAGCTATCCATTCTAGATAAATCCTCCCCCATCTATCACTAGCAGATTTGATACTCTTCAGGCACACCAGAAGAGAAAAGATATCTGAGTCAAGCTGTTGGACTAAGAAGATTAAAGGGAATATTTGTGACTGAAGCTGCTTTCTGGTCAGCAAATACACTGAGAGCTACAGTAAGCTGAGAACAACGGCAAAGACGGTTACATTACAGGGTGGAAAAGAATGATTTAGGCCATGTCCAGCCTCTTGACATCCTCATGTAATCCTGCTTTTCTTATAACCGACACCCATCTGCACTTAATACATGTGCACTTACTGTATATACTGTACTGAGAGCAACTCTGAAGAGAATTTATGTATTAGCTGAGACATGTTGTTTGCTAAACCTGCTTTGGGACATATTTGACCAGCAAAAAGAAATTTATTAGAGGGCTGCAGTTGACTGCATGTGTTTATTCTTTGTTTACAATTCCACTT